AAGTAAAGTTCTCGGGGTTACTGATTATTTTTGATTACTTTTGTATAGTGAATATAAACGCTCTTTCGAAGTGAAAATGCTTTTACAGTGATTTTTTATTAGTGAAATGTTAAAGTATAAATAAGTTACCCGGGCAATTGATTTACATCAGCCAATCAAACGAATGTCCGACTATGAAATAAGAACCGCAGAACTGCAGAATATTGGAATATGTGCGGAGATTTTCGGAATGGTAGAGCATTAAGCGCAGAAATAAGAACCGCAGAATTTGAATTTAATTTCCCGCTATTATAAAAAGGTGACTATAGGAATGTGATCACTCGATCAATTTAACTTTAACTGTTGATATTCTATCTTGTCAGATATTAATGTCTTCACGGCATAGCAAAAAGAATCGTCGCGACGAAACGCCGCTTGTAAAACTATCAAAATCCCTAGCATATGTCCTTCGTCACCATGCTAAAGACGAAGGTCTAGATATTCGTGAGGACGGATACGTCAAATTAGATGATTTGGTATGATTCAACTAAAATTAGGCATTTTTGTATTTTATTAGAATAAAAATTTACCAACCATTTTTTTTCTACGGGATCAGTTAAGATTACCGAGATTCAAAAAAACGACTTTTGAAGACATTAAATTCGTTGTTGATAATAGTGATAAGAAGCGGTACACTCTGATACAAGAAACATCAGATGATGGTGTTTCTTCATGGTGGATACGAGCAAATCAAGGACATAGTATTGAGGTTTTATTTTTTATTTTTTTCCTATTTTTTTGAATTTATCCTCAGCATTCTTATAATTTGTAGGTGAAACAATTAGAACTCGAAGAAATCACGGATTCTTTGCAATTTCCTGAAGTAATACATGGAACATATTTACGCCATTGGAAAAATATAGGTTTATTTATTGTTAGAGAAGTGTCACACTTTTATTTTTTTATCTCTTATTAAAATTGTTGTTATCTTGGTAGAATCACAAGGCCTTTCAAAGATGAGTCGCAATCACATTCACCTTGCTACTGGGCTATTTGGAACCGAAGGCGTTATAAGTGGTAAATGCCATTGAGATATACTTGTGAACTTGGCAATATTTTAACTTTAGTCTATTAAATTGTTTGTTTTTTTTTTTTGTTGAGGCATGAGAGCAAATTGTGACTTGTTTATATATATCAATCTTTCAAAGGCTATTGAAGGTTTGTATCCGATTTCATAGTAGTGAATTGTCTCGATCATATAATCCTCATCATTGATTGATTAGGCTTGATGATCGAGCACGATGTTATGGACTCGATCAAAAGTGAGTCAATCAATAATCGATTATGTTGATCGATCAAATGATTGAAATTAGTGTTACCAAAAAATGCAATCTATTAGTTGGTCAACAATTTTTTAAAAATCGATTATATCGATTAATCGATTAGTCAATTAATCGATTAATTGACTAATTGATTAGTTGGTATAACGAAATGACTTTGATATAATTGCGTGGCCATTAAATACAAGATCAAAGTATAAAACAACTAATCGGTTAATCAACTAATCGAATCAATCGATTAATCGTCGACAATCGATTAATTAATCGATTAATCGATTTTCGATTTGGAACGCTAGTTGAAATTTGATTGGTCAAGAAAATTTATACAGCAAAAAAAATTACAAAGGTATCGTTATGGCAGAGATTGTACCCGTATAAGAGTCACCCAGGTAACCTCTGTAAGGTCTACGTATCAACTAGATCATGACTACTGCTACTCAGCTGACTCGGGCACTTAAGTCATTAAAGTAACTCTGTTTGTTTTTATAATGGACGGAGCGTGGGTCAATCTCTAGGTAGATATTATATAATCGATCAATGATTAATCCAATAATTGATCGATTATGTATGCTCGAGCTTATAAATTCCATGCTTGATTGATCATACTCGATTAAGCATATATAATTGATTTTTGATCGATTTTTTTTGATCAATCATCAATCAACGATTTTTTTGTCGAGTCAATTCCATCTCGTAGTCGTTCTTAAGGACCCAATAAGTTTTCTTATTTTTTAACATAATAATTTATAAAAGATGGCATTAGGTTTTTTAGATCAGCCAATGGCGTTATATTAACAGAGGGTGTTAATGGATTTTTGAATCGAAAATATTTTTTGAAAGTTGTAGATCAATATGGAAATGTTATTGAACAAGCAAATTTGTAATACAAAGCATTCAAGCTAATTATATATATATTGTGTCTCAGATCCAAATATCAATTGA